GGGGAAACAGCTGGACTCTTTAGAAACGGGAAGTAGGTGCAAGTTTCCTATTCATAATATCCTGGAACAGTGGTCTGAGGTGTCCAGCAGCCTGCTTTTGCCCAAAGCTAACGCCAGGCTGGCTTGCTAAAGGATGTAGCACCACCGTCCTGGGTTCCTCCATAGCATCTTGGACCAGTGCTGTAGGTGGACCATGATTTGGGAGTTCCTTTTAGTAGCTAAAGCCTCTGGCCTATGGATGCAGCCACCTCTGCAGCTGACACTCAGCTTGGGATGCATGCCAAGCAGGTGAACCCTTGGGAGGCCATGATATTGGGACCTGTTCAGACCAGCTGCTCCCCTCTATGCTCATGGAATGAAGATGAGCGGACACAGAGCCTTCAGCACTGGGTCACAGTGTTCAGGGACAGGCCACAGTGTGAGTCCTGTCATCAGGAAACTCACTGCCTCAAGAAGGGCAAAACATCATACTCAGAAGATAGCTGCATCAAAGTCAAACCCTAACCTCTTAAAAGAAAACTCCCTATAGAGGTACCTGCCTTCAAAGTGCCCTCCTGACCCAGGGAGGAGGCCAGCAAGCAAGGCACTTGCACTTCAAAGGGAACAGTACAGTCAGATGGCCAGAGGAGAATAGAGGGGACTGAGCTGACAAGACAGGAGGTCTGCAGGGGCTTCCTTTTAGACCTGGGTGGGCTGTCTCCACCCTAAGGTGAAGGTGAACATGCCTCCATCCTGCCAGTCTTGGAGGAGGGACTTGAATTTGGGAAAGCAAAGGACTCATAGGCCTCTGGAGTAGGTGAGGTCTGTAATCCACGCCCACCACAATCAAAGGCAGTCAGCCCTTGTTTAGAGAGGGCAGAACAAAGCAGTCTCTGATGGCAGAAAGCTCATTATAAGCAATGACCAAAATCTGGTTTATATTTTTATCCTCATTATAGACTAAATACCCTAGTTAGAGAAATTAAGTACATTTCACTTTAGAAGCAAATAAACCTAATGCCAAGCCTTCCCCTACACGTGTACACTCCGGAGACAAACCCTGAAGGCTCAGAAATAGATGAGGAATCAGTGGTTCAGCACGGCCAAGTACTGACAGAGCATCCTGCCAACTCTTGAGCTCCTTGGACCTGCAAGAACAGAGAATTCAATTGTATGTATTTCCACGAGCCACTCTCCAGTAACCTCTCAAATCAGTCTTCAAGAGTTAGTGAAATTGAGTTTTTACCAACTAAAATCTGTCTACTGCTAGAGCTACATGAAACTCCATGCTTTCCCATGGCCAAGGTACCTGTCCCATACCTCCCAGGCCAACCCATAGGGCACCTGGCACTGCATGGGAATTCCTGCTGTATTTGATTCATCAGCAGTGCTATCTTGATCTGGTCACAGTTTTCTGCTGCTGCTGAATTCAAGATAAGTGTGAATTCAACATTATTTTAGATTTTGGGGACCTTGACCGTAACCAATGGTATTGGTGTGATGTGTTTTTATTTGGAACTAGAATTATAATAACTGCAATTGATGACATGGGCTTTGGGTCCCAGTATGAAGCATGTATGCCATTGTTCTTGTGCAGCTTGACCCGTGACAAGCACTGCCCCCAGGAGAAGCTGGCTTCACAGTGAGTGCCACCTTGTTGACATCATGGAGTTCTTTTACCTAGAACATCAGGAGAGGGTTGTAGGCTGTGGAATCTTAGCTCTGTCTGGGTGGCTGTGACCAAAACAGTTTGTTTCAAGTGTATGAAGTGATTTTCATGGTAGGATGTAGTTGCATAGGTGCATTATTACTTAATCAAGCATACAGTTAAGAGGTATATCTTTTGGTAAATGTAAAATTATACCTCAATTTATAAATAAAATAATAAAAATAAGGATAGACAGGCAGAGGAGGCAAAGACCAGGGATTCAGGAGAGTGAATGGTCTTCAAGGAAAAGGAGGTGACTTACAAATGAGAAGAAATCCAGCCAAGAATTATGTCAGTGTATTAATAAGGAAACCCCAGGCAAACTCTGGATGCTGCATTAACAAAAAGTGGGGAGGGATACTCTCAAAATGTGTGCTGACATAGACAACAGAGGAAGGCTGTGGAAATGTTCCAGTTGAAAGAACTAGATTTCTAGATGAAAGATTCTGTCCCAGAGGGAAAAATGTAATAAAGGATACTGTGAAGTCATGACAGTTTGATTATAGATAGTAGATTTCTAGATGAAAGTGGTATTGATGTAGATGTATGAAACTGACTTCTCTGATCACATAGGACTGCATTCCTGCTTTTAGGAAATGCATTCAGAAGTATTCAGAGATAAAGGGTCATGATGGATGCAATTCAACCTCATATTGTTCAGAAAGGTGTGGATATGTGAAAACTCTGTGTGTGTGTGTGTGTGTGTGTGTGTGTGTGTGTGCAAAAGAATTCTTATTGCCTACATTGGGAAGAAAGAGGGAAAAAAGGACAGATTTGGTCCTTGTTTGGATTGTTGAAAAAGCAGTTTCAATTGACATGTGATTTTTCCAGCATACGTGCCTCCAAACAAGGGTCATTTCGTCAGGACACTGTCCTTCAATGAGTAACTCCTGAAAGTCACATCCAATCCATGGTTGGGAGGAATGGGGTGGGGGCTGGAAGGAGTTCAGAGGACTTTCCAGTTGCTGGGGTTTAGATAAGTGTTCCCCAAAGGTCAGTATATGAAATAAAGGTTTGGTCCCCAGAGTGGGGTTATTAGGAAGTGATGGAACCTTTAGGAAGTGGGACCTAGTGGGAGATCCCTCTTGAAAGGGATATTGAGGTCCCAGCTCTTTCTTTGTCTTCTTTCACTTCTTGTCTGATGAGGTGAGCTGGTTTGCTCCATCATGCTCTCTCACCATGATGCATTACTCCCTATAGACCCAAAACAATGGGGCCAACCAATCATGTAAAAGGAACCTCCCAAACTGTGAAGCATGGCAAACCCTTTCTCTTCATAAGATATTTATCTCTGGTATTTTGTTATAGTAACAGAAAGCTGAATAACACAACTGTATAGACTTGAGTCTGTGTAGAGCTGTGTTAGCATCCCAGTGATGGAAGCCTCCATGACAATTCTATTGCCTTAATAATCACAAGTAGGCAATTCTCAAGCAATAAAAAACTAGATTCCTTGTTAGAATCTTAGAAATAATTTTTTTATTGCTTACCCTGGAGAGAAAGAGGAAAACTGGGAGTTTTTTCTTGTTGTTGACAAGGCTAGTTGGCAGTTTGTCAAGTGTTCTTTCAACATCTGTACCTCCAGACAAGCAGATCATTATCTGGACACTGTCTTTCAATCAGTAGCTCCTGAAAGCCACATCACTATCCACAGTTGATTTATGAAAACCTTGACTCCTGGTCAGGTTGATGTTATCTAGAGGGAAAAGTGGCCCAGCCAAAGTTTATACAGGGAACAGTGACATGTGTTCTGTCTAATGACAACATTTCCAGGATGAGCCAGGCAATATCATCATGCATTGGGAGAGGAAAAGGTGTCCAATAACCTCTCATGGGGCTCTCAATGACTGATCTTGCTCAGAGGAGTCTTATGTCCCCACGAGTGGCAGAAGGCTCACCTCATATGGAACACATCATAGAGGAATGGTGATGCCGTAGAGTAGGTGAGGCTCAACCTACTGCCCTCACCATGGCTAGCCTGGCCTGGATAGCGGGGACTCACGACCTTCCTCCAACATGATGAACACAGGGGATGAACCTCCCCTCACCCTCATGAACGTCTGGGATGAGTTAAAGTTCACATCCTCCTTTGTTCCCAGTCTCCACTTTAGACTGTGGAGTCATGAGGCTGAGCGTTCCATCCTAACGTTTCCTCACATAAAGATGGGGGTGTTTGGAAGACTTGGTGGCTCAACCATAGGCTGAAAGATTGCTGTCTGTTTTCAACATGTGTGAAACCAAATCAGGACGCTATGTCAAGGGTCAAAACAGTGGTCACAGACAGACGTCATTATATTTGCTCCCTGGCCTTGTCATGTTTGTTCCTTGAGGGGGACCATGGAGAGCAAGAATCACTTGATCTATGCAGGGACTGGAAGTTCTTTCTGGCCATGAGTCAAAGCCATGTTGATGGGTGCGAATCAGAGGAGAAGACGAGGGTCAGGGATGGAGGTGGGCAGCATGTGAAAGGACTGAGGAGAGAGACCAAGTCTCTCTGGCTATGTACACCCCTGGAAAACCATGTTCTACCAGTAGGCCCCTGAGGTCAGAAAGGAGGTAGAGCCCTGGGCCTCTGGACTTCAAGGGCCAAGGGCTCTGATACTGCCCTACAGTTGTTTTAGTGCACAGCCAGGCCAGGTATAGGGTGATTCACTGAGAACACCTTCCAGCCAGGGATCTTAGGTCCATTTCACACTATCTACCTTGCTCTGAGCAATCATTGCCTATTGACAACTTACTGAGTCTCTACAAGATTCCAGTCACAATGCTGAGTACTTAACATGTGTTACCTTATTTGTGCCTATGACAGCTTGTCCCTCTTTCAAAGTTCAGGAAACATGCTGTAAATGCTGAGCTGTCAAGGTCAAAAAGGGAGTAAGTCATGTGCTCACTTACACACACCATGTCTACATGCATGCATGAATCCACATACACAGAGTGTGATAGGTTTTCTAGCCTCTGCTTCAAGAAAGAGCTTAGTGTGGTTGTCACAATTGATCCTAGGCATTCTGTAGTCACATCTGCTTAGAAAGACATGGTGATGGTTGGCCAGAAAGTGCTGGGAATCCCTAAGTAACTGGTCTTTATCCCCTGGCTGCTATTATCTCCAGTCTGGGGTACAGGTTGACAGTGGCTCCTTGTTAGGACTTCAGAACCCCAGTGTGAGCTGCCAAGAAAGTCAGAAGGTTTGGTAAAAACCAACGGGCCACATGGGTAGGAATCGTCAATGGCTGGGCTGGTTTCAATGCCAGGGGTAGGCTGGTCTCTTATTCCCCCTGGGTCACTTGCTATCTTCTCCCTTCTATCTTTGTAGCCAGCCTCAGTTTGAAGTCCAGGGCGATGGCTCTTGGGGAGCAGCCAGCATACCAGGGGCCAGTACACTGCATCACAACCATCGTGAGGACTGAGGGCCTGGTGGGGCTGTACCGGGGAGCCAGCGCCATGCTGCTGAGGGACATCCCGGGCTATTGCCTCTACTTCATCCCCTACGTGCTCCTAAGTGAGTGGATCACGCCCGAGGCCTGTGTGGGCCCCAGCCCCTGTGCTGTGTGGCTGGCGGGTGGCATGGCAGGTAAGAGAGTTGGTGACTGGAGTTCCATCCCTGGGCCACCCACTGCTGTGGAGCAGCACAGAACCTGCTGTGCCCTTCCCAGCCCCAGGGGAGACAGCACTCATCCAGCAGTGTTCACTGTGCACTTACTCTGTGCCAGGCCAGCAAGACAGGGGAAGGGCTAGGAATGAGAAGTGTCCTCCTTGTCCTCTGGAGCGATAGGAATGGCAGTCACTCTGTGGGTTTATTGGACTTGCAGGCAGCAAGTGTCTTTTGAGCACATACTCCGTGTGAGTATGTGATCTGAGCTATAGGAAGCAAATATGTTATCATGCCTTGCCTTTATGGAATAGGGCTCTAAGGTAGAAGGCAGTCTCCCCATTTTGCAGATGAGAAAACTCAGGTCCAGGTATACTAAGGTACCAACCCAAGGTCATATATAGCTCATATATATAGGACAGCAGGGACTCTGCAGTCAGGAAGATCCAAGTTCAAATCCACACTTGCTCGTTTTGTGACCATGGACTTGTATTTAACTTCCTTACTCAGACACTAGCACTACACTCACTTAATTTAGGGTCAAATCAACAACCTCTCGGTGGCTTTCCAAGTCCTCTCTGACCTCCCTGCTACTCCTCTGACCTCATTTTCAGCTCCTCTACCTTTCTCTAGCCACACTGATCTCTTTATTGCAACTTGACCACGCTCTGCTCTCCCCTCACCACAGGGCCTTTGCACTTCTCTCACTGCTGGATTTTACAATGTGGAAGCTATTGGGTTCTTTGAAAAGAGCCATTTCTTTGGAGAGAAAAGTATTAAAAACCTGACTGAAGTGGGATGGGTGTGGGAAGAAAGAAATCGAGGAACCCAAGTATAATACGGTGTTTCTGAAAAATTTTCTTTGCTGTAATGAGGAGTTAGGAAATGGAGCTATAGCCAGAGAAGACTATGGAAGTCAAGAAAGGATTGCTTTTTAAGGAGGCCAATGTCATGGCATGTTTGATGCTGGTGGGAAAGTCATGACAGAAAAAAATCCTTACTTCTTCCTCTCCCTCCTCCTCTTCCTCCTCCTCACCATAACTAGCAATACTTTAAACTTAGCAAACACTCCTGTATCTCTGCCACTGAATCAGTGCTCTCCCTGTGCCCCCCACCCCCACCCCGTGTCTGAGGCCCATCCCTGGCCTTGCTTCCGGGAAGGGCTCAGTGCACACTGGTTGGTTGGTTGGACAGCAAGTTCTCACCTGCTTTCATTTCTGTTGAGAGCAGGTGTGTATGTCCTGGCCAGAAAATCTCATTTGTGATGCCCTCACTGTGGCCAAGGGACAGAGACTGCATCAGGACAGCACCTGGGGAAGCAGCCCGTTGCCCTGGCAGAGGCAGAAGGGCATCGATGTCTAGAGAGGCTTTCAAGGACTGGGGGGACTGAGGTCATGATGGGAAGAGGGTCCAGGGCAAGCCAAGGTATGTTTTGGAAATCACTCAGCAGCAGGTACAAAACAGCAAACCAGCCGCCCTGGACTTTGGCATTGGTTTGTTTTCTCTACCCATCTGAGAGTGTGCCAATTTCTGTGTTTATACAATAACCCAGCAATGTTTCCTAGAGTCCTTTAAAGTCACAAGATGCTCAATCCAGGGCATCTGAGCTTATTCAGCAAGGATGACCAGTGGTATGTGACCCCTAGGTCTTATTCCTTATATTTAGAAAAGAAAAAAAGATTTTAAAAAGACTGTTCTTATCTTTTTTTTTTTTTTTGCAACCACTGGGCTGGCCCTTCTTGGGGATCAGCCTTTGTGCAAGTGTTTGTTTAGCTGCTCCAAGTTCAAACTAAATCCCGCCTCTAACTACATGCCTCACCCTGAGCTCTCTCTTCTGGTGTCCTGGGAAGGTGCCATGAAGCACTGTGGAACCTGTTACTGTCCCACCAAGGAAAGCTGCTAATACACACTGCCATGAATCAAGCTCTGGCTGTGTTCAAAGCTTCATGGGCAACAGTTCATGGGGTCCTCACAGCAACCCCATGAAGACAGGCACTGCTGTCCCATTTCACAGATGAGGGACCCAAGGCTCAAAGGAAGTAGGAGACTTCTCCCAAGTCCCAGTGCAAGTGGCAAGAGAGGACTAGAAACAGACTCTGCAGGCCCCAGCCCTGAGCTCTGTCCACCTCCCTTACAGTTAGTGGAGTTTCTGATGGGGCAGGGTGTGTGTATGGGGGGGTAATCCTCAGGGAACCAAGCCCCTCCAGACACTAGCCAGCCAGTCCTGACATCTGTTCCTTTCTCTGTCTTTGTAGGAGCAATTTCCTGGGGTACAGCAACTCCTATGGATGTCGTGAAAAGTCGACTCCAAGCCGATGGTGTCTATTTAAACAAATACAGAGGTGTCCTGGACTGCATTTCCCAGAGTTACCAGCAGGAAGGTCTTAAAGTAAGCCCTAAGACAGCCCCATGGTGTCAGCTGCAGCCCTTGGGGGATGGTTCAGATGTGTGGGTTGTGGGAAGCATGAGATTCTAGAGGAGGGAATGGGGACATGGAGGGACTGGAGGTTACTATTTATCTCAGGTGCCACAAACAGGTGCCCCTCCAAGTATATCACCCATGCTGTCTTGTCTAGTTCTCATCCTGGGATGAAGGAGGGAATAGGTGAGCCACCCACCTGACAGGGTCGCAGAGGACTAAGAACCTGTCCACAGTCACCCAGCTGGTACGTGGTAGAGTCAGAGCCAGGACCCCTGCCTGTATGTCACCAAGTTTGCCTTCTCATCAAGATGGGATGAGCGGTCCTTCCTTACCCATCCCAGAGCCACCTTGCATCTTTCCTGACCCTCAGCCATCTCTTCTTACCTGCTCCAGGTCTCCTACTTCACCTGAGTCCAGACCTTGTCACCTCTGGGCTCAGCATGTAGGCCCCTTCAACTTGGCATCCTCTATTCCTCTCCCTACAACTGAAAACATTATCCTCAGCACACACCCCTTCCCACCACTAAAACATTCCAAAACAAAGACCAGACTTCCATGTCCAAGGTTAGAAACAGACTGCTGGCCCTCCAGAGATACCATTTCACCTGCTCTTCTTCCAGTGGGTGGGCCCTTTGCTTTCTCAGCATGGCTCTAAGAGTCAGCAGTCTTGAGTTCCAGGTCAGACCCAGCCACCTATGTGCTGGGGAAATCCAAAAAAGTGGCTTTACTACCTTTCTTGGCTCCAGTTTCTCTGAGGATAAGCTTACCACCATGAAAGGACAAGGCAATAAATTAAATTAGGCAAATTTCATGCTTAATCTATAGGGAACATTTGGGAAGAGTTGAATTTTTTATTGGCATTGGTATTATGTCTCTTAGTTTTATTGTCAAGATGATCACGTTACACTTTACCCCTAACCCTGACAGGTCATTTGACCCATTCCTCCCAGCCCAGCACACCTGTCCCCCAGAATCTTTGTCTTCTCCTCTGCCCACGCATGATGCTTTTCACACACCACCAAAGACCGTGCTTTCCATCCCTGCCTGAGGTCCAGTTCTGCTCCTTCCCTTGGTTAGGAACAATCTAGAGCTTTGGATAACCCCAAGGAGGATGGCTAATATGTCGTGTGAAAAGGACAACATCCAAGTTACCCCAAAATATAGACCAAAAGGCCCAGTAAAAGACAACTATAGAAACCAACGTTGCTTGCAACCCTTTGTCTTAAATAATCAAATCAGTTGCTCCTAGAGAGAACATCCAACTTGATTTGACCCAGGCTCCCCAGGGCAATGCCCGAGGGCTCTAGTTTTCATGAGTTCATGGTTCATCTGACAAATGCCTGCTTTTAGAACACAAGTATATACCATGTGCAGTTCTAGGAGTTTGGGACGGAGTACTAAATAGAGACAAAGTCCATATTCTGATAATGCTAACCTGCCCGTGAGCCAACAGCAGAACCAGTTCCCACGCCTGCACTAGTAGAGTATGGTAGGTAGGGAAAGGGAGCTGGATGCCTCTGCTTTGATTAGATTGCAACTGGAATGCTGTATCCTTTTCTGGCTGCCACCTATTAATTAAGACTTCAAAGGTGCCCTAGTGAAGGGGTTCAGTACCATGGCATATGAAGAAAGATCAGGTGTTGGGACTCTGTTTAGCATAAGATGTGAGGTACAGATAACTTCATTTCTGTCTTTCTGTTTGAAGGATGGATAAGCTGGCCTCTTTTCTGTGTTCATTATTGTAAATTTTTGTTTAACCAGAGGCCCTCTGGTAAAGGGTAGAAGTCTAGGCACAGCTTCACTTGGTTTTTGCATTTTACTTTTTAGCAGAAGCACATTTTGTGATTCAATCAACAATTACAGAAGGTCACAAAAGAGATTCAAATGGGAAGCAGTCCTTTTACTTGATGTTTCTATTTCCCCAAAATTAATGTGTCATAATTCAAAACAAATCTATAGAGGCAAAAATATACTGCTGATACCATTTCTTACAAAAAAAGTACTGTGCTCCATAAAAAATAAAGTCCTAGAAAGGCCAAATGATGGGTTTTGTAACCTCAAGAGCGTTTGGTCTGCAGTGTTTATACAGAGTCAGCTTTTAATAGACATGTCAGTACTCAGATTGATTAACCTCAATGGCCAGATGTTTCAAGATTAATTTTTATGAATGGATTAAAAGGCAGTGTGAAGATAGGGAGCTTCCAAAGACACAGGAGGATCTCAGTGTCTTGAAAGGATGGGGATCCCATCCTTTCAATGGTGATTGGCATTATAAGTTTCTTGTGATGTATCCCAAAAGTATCCCTACCAGTACAAGCGTGCATGAGTGAGTGTCTGGTCATGTATATATGCGGGAACATTTTATATAAATGTAAACAGGAACCTGGAAAGACTTGCACGCCACAGCTCGGAAACCCAGGCTATCCTGAATGATAGCAGCAGCAGCAGGAGGAGCCACCCTCACTCATGGCCGCCGTGGCTGGCCAAGGCTCCAGGTGGCACGGGCTCACTTGTTGGAGTACTGCTTCTGAAACATTCTTTCCCATAGCTTAAGGGGATGACCAAAAAAGCCCTGGTAGCTCATTGTCCAACCTATTCTCTTCTTCCTATGGAAAAACTCAGTGATAACAAAGAATCAGAAAAGAGAAAACTGGTGACAGTAGTGGCAGTTTGAACAGCCCTTTGTGCCTCAAGGGTTACCAGGTGAGGGCCTTCATGACGGGGAAACTGGAAGTCCATGACCTTTCAGGACCCTCCCAAAAGGGAACAAAAGAAAGGCCTAGTAGCATGGACCCATTCTCTGCCCACTTTGAGGACTGTCTCAAGCACATGGGCGTGGTTCCTACTCGGAGAATTATCCTTTGAAACCAGGAGGCTGGAGGGAGACCTTGGTGTCCACTAGCACTACAGAGGTGGCCCAGACTGCAGGGATTCATGACAGTGCAGTGAGGCTGGGTGAGAGACAGACAGGAACATTTGTAGCAGACAGCTTCCCTGAGGCACCCGGGTCAGTTGCCTGGTGGTTCTGCCTCTCCTGGCTCTGGAGCTGTCTCCCACTCCAGGAATCCCCCACTGCCACCAAAACTAGGACTACCTCAGCTCAGGCTGTCCTTTTTCAGGTCCAGGAATTCATTTATTCACTCACCTATTCAACTATCCATTGACTCATTTAACAAGAATCTGTGGAAAGTCTATGCAGAACTAAGCACTTGCAGGTACAGGGGATTCAGAGGTGAACCACACCCACAGGCTGTGCTCCCCACCCTGTAGAGGACAGGTCAGTCAGGAGGGAACCAGTGTAGGAAGTGTTACAAGGGGAAGGTCCCTCAGGCTACAGTGGGTTGCCTGGTGGGTGGGAGGAGATGCTGGGTGCCCAGAAGGCAGCAGACCATAGTCCACCTTGGAGTGGTCATGGGAGAAAGGCCAGAGGCTGCAAGCCAGATCTGAAACATTCCATGCAGAGGGGCCAGAGATGCCCAGTGCATCTCTGAGGAATGCCAGGTGACCAACCTACTCAGAGAGTGAGATATGAAGGGCATCCCAGAGAAAGTGTGAGGCTGGAACTTTGCAGGCCAGGGAAGAGTATGGACTTGACCCTGAGTGGTGGGGAGTCCTGGAGGCTTCATGAGGAAGGAGATGGTCTGAGGACCCCATGTTCTGAAAGCCCAGGGTAAAAGCCAGAAGGTCGGTCCACTGTCTGCCTTCTGTGGGCCCTGCAGCCGAGCAGAACTCAACTTCTGTAGGAGACTCTGTCTGTGGGGTAGAACACATATTCCTCCCTGGCTCAGCCTTGCAGAGCAGAGCCAAGCTGAAGCCACAGGGGGCCCTGTGGGCACCCGGCATGGAATTTTCCTCTTGGAGCCTGACCCAGTTCCTTATGTTACTCAGTCACTCTGGGTAAGCCTGTGGAATTTCAATAAGGTTAGACATTAGAGAGGAGTACTACTGTTGTCCAGGTCCCCTTGGTCCCCTGCCTGAGTGGCTCCAGAATTTGGCTGAGTCACTTGCTCACCTTGCAGAGCCCAATCCCTCAGCTCTTTTCCTGGACCCAGCTGCATGTTGAGGCTGCCAGGGTCACCTGACATCTTGATCAATGACAGTGGCCTCTACCCATTCTGACACTGTAGCCCCCAGAAACCAAGGAAACCAGAGAAACACAGAGGGCCAGTGGCTACTTTCTGAAAATGAGCACCTCTGTGTCTTCAACTTAGGAAATTATACAGAGCAGGTTTAGAACTTAGGGCCTGGCACTTCTCAGGTCATTTACACTTAGACAAGGATTTCACTTTAGATTGTGGTCTTTTCTCATGAGACATTAGATCATCCCTCCCACCCCACTGCTCACCCAATCCCCATTCTGTTCTCATCCCTATCTACTAATGTAATTTTCCTGAATGGGGCTACTCCTCTAATAGGTTATAAACCACTCATATTTATCAGTGTCCACCCAACACCAACCAGGGAGATTTGAGAAGGAAAGGGAGACCGTGGGAGCCATCTTGTAATATTCCCGGGGGACAGAAAACAAATACAGGTGACACAGCGGCAGAGGCAGAGTTCAGCAGCTCATCAGTACAGGCCATTCCTCAACTCCCACACTACGGATCAAGGTCAAGTCCTTTTTCCTATTGGGTGACGAGTATTGATCATGACAAGGATGGTGATGGGAACTAACAGTCACTAAGTGCTAAACTGGATGTCAGTGGATGACAGGCACTGTGGGAGCATCCCAGAAGTGTTGTCTTGTTCATTCCCTCAAACACCTTCAGTGGCTTGATGCTATTGTTACCCGCATTTTACAATTGGCAAAACTGAGCTCCAGGAAATTTGCCACCTGCCCAAATAACACAATTACCAGGGAAAGCTGTGTCCCTACTCCATGTCTATGGTGTTAAGCACAGCCTGAGTTCTGCCCTCTGCCACTTCGGGGATGTCACATGAGGTAACTGGTTGAGCATGGCTGGATACTCTGTGTATTTAGGACTTCCAGGTTCCTGAGGATCATGTATGTGTGTGTGTGTGTGTGTGTGTGTGTGGTGTGATGTGTTTGTGTGTGTGTGCGTGTGTGTTTAAAAAAGAGCAATCAGCAAATGTATGGAAGTCCTTGGTGCATGCATGTCAGAGGCCAGGAGGACAAGTGCCATCAGACATGACTAGGGCAGGGCATGGACATGCCTGGAGCATCCTCTGTGATCTCTATCATGTCCTTTGGGCTTGGGATGGGGACAGGCTGGGCAGAGCCATCTCTGACTTTGACTCACTGCAGAGGATATGGGTTGGTCCTGGAATAACCAGTCTCTGTGCAAAGGTGTTTTTCAGGGGTATCACAGTGAACGCTGTGCGTGGCTTCCCCATGAGCGCGGCCATGTTCCTTGGGTATGAGCTCTCGCTACAGGCACTCCGTGGGGACCATGCTGTGACAAGCCCGTGAGGACCAGGTGTGAATTTGGAACTCCTTTTTTCATTATGAAAATCTTATGGCCTTCTGAAATATCCCCCTGTCCCCTCTGGTAGGTCTGGGGCTAGAGTTGCCACCCTTCTCCTCATCACACAGCAATTTTGAAATGTCCATAGGCAATGGTTGTGTGCTAAGTCCTCTGTGTCTGTGGTAGGCACAGAAGTCACCTGTTTGTCACCAGCTCACCCTCCCATTTCCATTCACAGCTTCCTCCGTCCTCAGAGAGAACTGCGCTTAGCTTCTCAGAGTAAATGCAGTGATCCAGGAAGGAAGAACTCCTACCGTAACCACAGTGCCTTCCCCACCTCATCCGAAGCATGGTCTCCCCGCCGCCTGTTGAACTTTCTGAGAGCCACCTACAGGCTTCCCAGTCCTTGAGGACAGGTCTCTACCACTCTTCCTTGCTTTTCCTTTCTCGTTGCAGAATGACCACGGTAGCCTGAGGTATCTTCTGTATTAAATTGCACATACTATTTGTTAGAAATGAAAAAGGCACAGAATGGACAGGTGGGTAAAGGCTGAAACACCGGCCCAAGGCTTATTGTGGGCAAGTGGTCCTGCGGAGGGGGTCCCCAAGACAACTGGAGCCCCTTGAGGTACTGGGCAGATAACTCCTTTGCTCAGTGCACCCACCTGCCTTCCTCCTAGAACCGCCTTCTCTGACCTCCCCTCTCATCACCATCCTGCATCCCACCCTCTCTCACCCACTGGGTCTGTGCTCCCACTGTGTCTTCCTCCTCACTCCTTCCCCCTTGTCTTCGTTTCCCCAGAGCTTTCTCCAGCCCTCCTCTCCAGGTCACCAGTCTACTTTCTCAGCGGGGATGAGGTGTGTCCTCCACCCCATCTCAGGGCATCGTCACTGCCTGGTGGCTCTCTGTGCTCTTGAGACCCAGGCAAAGGTCCCAACTGCACTATAGCTCTCTCCACTCCTGCACTGTTGGTGCCTCGCACAAAGCTGGTCACAAACAGCCAGTCAGCAACAGCCCTTGATGTCCCTGTAGTCCCTCCCTTCCTCCTGTGACTTTTCCCTTCTTCTCGTTCTTTGGCTCCCAAACTGGTCAAAGAGACAAAGAAGGGTGAGTTACTGAACTTTCTAGTCAACCAAGAAGCCATCACACTTCAGCATCAAGGACTACAAATTCTCCCAATAAGAATGGCTGTCATCAGGGGAGTCTAGAAAACTGTGCTACTGCCTCCAGGGGCTGGGGGCACAACAGGGGCATTTGTGAGGCCTACTGGGGAGCTTGGAAGACCCTGAGTCCTGGCCAAAGGGAGAGAGTACCACTGGTCATGTGGACCACAGTGACCTGGGCCCACCCTGGAAGGTGGCGTTAAATAAAATACTTTCGGCAGCTTTTTACTAAATCGCTGACATTCACAGCTTTTCTGGCTTGTTGCCCTTTTTTAATCAAAGGAAAGGGTAGTAACATATTTTGCATAATTAAACATGTTGATGAAACATTCCTGCATTTGGAAGACGTCCAGGGCAGGGCAGAAAAGTTGTCTTGTTCTTAAAGCTGTGCTCAAATATCAGCACCCCCTGTCAACAGCTAGAGGTAAATTTAAAAATTCTGTGATAAAAATGATGTATTTTTACTGTAGAAAAATAAAAAATACAAATAGAACAAAATAAAAATACCTGTAATCACATATGTCATTATTCTTCCAAGTGTCTTTTTTTTTTAACGTGTATCCCCAAATTCAGATTCTACTTTACACAATGTTTTATAACCCACTCTTCCCAACTAATAGCTCAGGAACATTTTTCCATGTTGCTAAAACTTCAGCTACAAAATGATTTTAATGCCAAGATCTCACAGATCGGCGGAGTGGCTGGATGCTTGCCCAAGCTGTTGGACTGTGTCACCATGGCCACCCTGGGGACTGGCTGCTTCAGGGGGAAGTTCCTGGGGAGCCAAGTCATTATTTGGCCTTCCAAAGCAATGACCAGGCCAACTGGACACTTTTCTTACTGAATGTAAGGGGCTTGGATGCCTGTCTCCCTAAGAAAGAACTGCTAAGGTCGGGGAGGAGGCTGAGGCCCCTTAGGTTGGGAAGAGGGTTCCCAGCAACTGTTCTGGAGCATCACCTTGAACCAGCCTCACTCTGGGTGTCCAGCTCTAACCAAGTTCTAACCAAGAACCATGGTTGACCAGCTCTTCTAACAAGAAGGACTTAATTTACCAAGAAGCTCTAAGGGTTGGAGTTCTTCTTCACTTGGCAGTAATGTGTTTTTCTTTCAAGATGTGGAAAGAGAGGCCTCCCTCATTATCTACACTGAGGATTGAGCGAGATGACAGGTGTTGGAGGACTAAGGAGCTCTTCAGTTCCTGAGAAGTGAGATGGTGGCTGTCTCAGGAGTCCCTGGGCACAGGTGGCAGGGATGACATAAGAACTGTTTCCAAGAGTCTGCAGGGAATAAAGGACCCACTCCCCAAAGCCCTAGAGAAGACACTACCTTCTCATTCATTCCTGTATTATTTCCCACTTAAGCTACGTGGAGTAGTGGCCCAAGATGGAACGAAGCCCAGTAGCAGTATGGGAGGTCCTTGTTCTGTGCTGGATTCATTTTATCTGTTCACCTGGAGAAACCAGAGGAAGAGGACTTTTGGTGGTAGAAATGGGGTGTGGTCACTGGCCAACAGCCAGATCTTAGGCTTGTCCAACTGCTACCCCTCCCACCCACTGGGGTCCAGGCGCCAAAACCTTTCTGGAGCAATTCTGGTATACTCTGTCCTGACACATGCTCCAAACCTCAGTGCCTACTTCCAATTTCAGGGAATTTCACTTGAGAATGACTTCTTTGAACATTCATAAATTATCCTTATAACCCTCCTGCACTTCAGCGGTGTGGTCACGGTGACCCTGGTCCACAGCTTCTTTATTAGAACGGCCTCCAGGTGGGTCATTTGACCCCCAGGTCCTGCTCAAGATAACCTTGGAAGATGACACTCATGTTTTCTCCTTTTCCCCCAGGGCTGGTGTCACCTGCCAGGGCCTCCTTCCACTATTCGTCCATGTTGACAATGTCTGCAAACCAGTGATCATGAGCTTACTAGAGGGATGGAAGGACCCCTGCCCGCCTGGACTCTGCACAAGATGGGCTTCTGGAGAGCATGCTGGTCTTGGAGCCCCTTCCTTCATAATTATAGGCTCTCTGTTCCTTAACCCCAGCCGGGGTCACTGACCTGCCTTGGAAGGAAACAAGGGACTGCTAGTAGAGTGGACACCACCTCTTTCAACTCTGGGTAACACCAGGTTAAAATTGGCCAATTTCAGTGGCCATGACTGTTGTAAATTCACTGGGAATTCATGGAGGAGCTGGAATTGGTTCTAAGTTTCCCAATAAAAGCATTGAAAACCTCTCAGGGTTGTTTCTGAGTAGGAGGTCTCTCTCTGCCTTCAGAGAGGCCCGTCCATCCTCCTTCCTATCTCTGTTGAGATGTCACTGGTCTGGAGAGAAACCTGCTCCACTGGGGCAAGCAGAAGAACTGAGGGTGGTGGCTCCACTTCCTTTTTCCTTTCTCCCAGATGCCTAAGGCCACCAGGAGAAGAAGCAGTGGTTTGCAAGGGCCACACATGAGAGAAAACCTTGAAGGCGCTGCCCCTTTAAGGGAGCAGTGGCATACATTGGTGGCATGCTTCTGAGATGGTGACTCTGAGCTTGGATCGGGTCGGGGTTCTCTGGGCCTGACTTTTTCTTGGAAAACAAAACAAAATGCTTTGTCCACACTCTGCTTTCCGGAGTGATGTCATAGGTCTCTATTTCTTATTGGAACCACATGGGGGGCTGTGGCTACTTCCCTGTTATGTGGCATTTGTTCATGATGTCACTCCCAATTCTGTGCCTTCAGCTAGCACCCGTAGTCACCTTCTAAGTGAGGTGAATGTGACCTCAGAATACTCAACATTGTGCCCTGGTCAGTGATCACCAGCCAGTGAGAACTGGAAGCAGAATTATTTGCCACCCCTGCCTTAAGTCCATTGGGAAATGTCCCCAGATTCACTTTTTTGAAACCCCATTCAAGAAATCTTCCTTAGTTTCTCTACTGCCCTGTCCCCATGCACTACTTCCCTGCCTCTGAGTGACCTGGACCATGTCTCTAAAGAGCTCTGGCTCCAACAGATCCAACATCAAAGCAGTGCCCCACACAAGTGTTGTCTCCCCACTGTAAATCAAAGGGTCTCCCCTTGAGAGAGAACCCTCAGCTCCCTCCTCCTTTCACCTACATAGTCCCCAGGTGTGCAGAGCCCCTGGGCATCTCTCAGGCTGTAGTCCAAACTCTCCATCCTCCAGCAGTGCAATACTCATCCATCCAGTCATCACATACTTGTCAAGCATTTGCTCTGTGTAGGTACCATCTTGGGTATTGGGGATAGCACGAGGGGACCCAGTAGTACCTCCCTGCTGGCATGGTAGGCTGTTTTGATAGGAGAGACAGGTCTGCCTAGGCACCCTGTGGTGGCCTCTGGCAGGCACTGAAAATGCTGAAGAAGAGATGCTCCTGGCATATAGTTCACCCCCAGGCAGATCCAAAGGCTACTGTAACACACCCTAGAACACATTTCTTCTTAGGTCAGCCTCAACAAGCCACTGGTGTTGGTCGCTGCCCACCTTGATTGGAAGTGGTATTGCTGGGGTCTTCTGCTGTACGCTCCTGATGAGATTGAGATACAACCACCTTACTCAGGTATCCAGACCTTCCTGGGTTCTTTGGATCATCTTGGTGCCTCTTGATGATAGGAGCTGGTAACAGCATCATTGTTGATCCAGTTTACAGATGAAGAAACCAAGGCTCTGATGTATCTGAGCCCCTGCTGAGGACTTGGACTACCAATCCCTCTTGATAACCCTCCTGCAGTGGCACTGTCCCTGCCATCCAGCCCAGGGAACATCACTAGCAGTAAGGTCATGACCACTCATGGTGGGAAAACAGAAAGTTGTTGGGACACATAAGTATGGAGTTATAGAT